AAGAGGCTTCTTGGAAGTTTAGGCTGTTTTTGAAAGGGATTTCCACCACCCGCAGTTTGGCCATTTGTGGTGTTCGTTGTTGAGTTTCTGGACTAGGGATTTGTTTGAAGCAGTTGCTCAGTTCTGCCATCCCCTGCACTCCGCTCTATCAACATTTGGAGACCTTAGCTTGCTGTTAATCCTCTACGGCCGCTTTCATCACATCCAGGAATTTTTCAGTGGTCCACAAGGAGCATTTTGTTTGCTGCTTTTCTGCTACTTAACCTCTAGGTGGTACTGTGGAACAGCAGAAAAGCACAAACGGCAAGAGGAATCCTGCATTCTTTCACTTTCACAGTTGAATACTACATTATTCCTGCTCAAAAATAAATAAAATAAAATAAAATAAAAGCCTTTGAAGAAGAAGGTTAGACACAGAAGTGGAACTAGATGTCATGACAGCACCTAAAGAACTGGTAAACAACCTGAGTAGGGAAGGGAAAGTGCATGATAGTAGGAGAGTCCCTTGTCTCTGTGCTTGGAGCCTGGTGACTCATAGCTACGTCACATGTGATGACTGTAACATGCAATCAGGATATTATTCCAAGCTATGGAAGCAAATGCTGACTTCAGGTTTTTTGTTTTTAACAAAGCATAATATTTTCAAGTAAAGTTGCCTCAGTCTATGGGAACATGTGAGGATTTCATTTCGTTTTTATTATAAGATCAAAAGAAAGAGAATTTTTAAAAGGAATGTGGGAAAAAGCGAAAGAGAGATTCATCCATCACTGTAAATCACCTTCAAGAATGCAATCCTATGCATACTTGGACAGGACAAAGTCGGACCTTTTTCTGTCTAAACATGCACAGGCCTTATGCTTATCTCGACACTTTTCAAACTTCTTGCCTGGGTAAGCCAAGAATTTCTGAATCTGCCCCAAACTTCTAGCTGAAGCCAAGTTCATTGGCCGTGCAAGGTGCAAAGGGAAGCCCTGGGCGGGACGGTGTCTGGGCACAGCCCAGAGTAGCTGCTGTATCTGGGAAAAAGCTTTCAGGAAGGAGCGGGACACTGCTTTGCAGGGTGGCTTATTGGGATCCGCTGGACTTATGTGAAGCTAAGACGGGACCTTGCCTTCTAAGGGATGAGCTGACAGGAAGCAAGCACCTTCTTTTCACCCACTGTGACAACCCAGTGCCTGGAATGACAAGACATCTGGAAGACGCATCGCGGTAGGAGGGCTTTCGGCTCCCCTAAGAAGCCCCAAATGCCACCCCACTCCTCTCCAGATTTTCCACCACCCCACAGCTCTCTGATGAAATCTTGCGCCTAATGAGAAACGGATGCGTGGATGTTTTGTTCCTAATAAGAAATGGATGTGTTTCCTGTGGTTCTGGGATATTTTTGTGTCTCAGGGTCCAGGAAACTACAGAAAGCTGGGGGGGGGGGATGTTGTGGTTGGGTAGAACATGGAGCAGGGGGGTGGGGGGAAGGGGATTGGCTCTGCGTGCACACAAAGGTTAAACCTTTGTTTATAATAAACTTTGGAGGACTACGGCTGTTGCCAGCGAAAGAGAGAGTTCAGTAGTGGGCCCTTTGCTGCTTAAGAGGCATAGGAATTAGTCATCACAGGAATGTTTTCTGCCTAGACACACCTAGGAGTGTGCTTTTAATGTGCTCCGAGGGTACATTCATGCACTCTGTTCATCCAGTGGGAGGATGCTGAACTCAGGCTTAAGTTCCCCGGGGTAATTGATGGAACTTCACAGTGATTGATATGCAACCTAAACAGACGGGAGCCTCCAGTGGGCCCACAGCTCCCATCCTGGCACTGGCATCTTTCAAGGCCCCTGAAGACCAGACGGTTGGAGGGCCACCAGGTGAGGAAGACTGCTGTGAACCGGGGTGGGAGATCTCCAGCTCTTTGGAATGCCAGCAGGCATCTTGGCCCCTCCTGGACGAGGTGGCAGGGCCTTCTGGAAGCTGCCCAGACCTCTGGAGCTCTCCCTCCTGCCCCCACCCCTCTTGTGGGTGGCCCCGCGTGGCCTCTGGCAGGATTTGCACGTGCCGTAAAATGTTGTGCTGCGGCCCTGATGTGATGAAACGGGCTGCCTGTCCTGCGCCAGAGGGCAGGTGCGGGGGGGGGGGGACACCATCTCTAAAACGCTTCTCTGTGTTAAATCGCAAGTGCAAAAGCAGTGCAGGAAGCAGAGGGCGGGAGAAGCACGTTCTCGATGCGATGCTGGGTTTCTGCTTCTGGGGATCAACCACCCAGCCCAAGGAAGGCGCGCTTCAATGGCCTGCGTGGGCATGGCCGCCTCCTTGCAGCTGCGCCCCGATCCCAAGGGGATCAGAGGTCAGGCACCCGCTACAGTTTCGAGGGGCATTAAGCGAAAGTGGAGGCGCTCGGCGCCTTTCTTGATCCCGCGGGGATGTTTCACGCCATCCCAGTCGTCGCCCTTCTCTCCGCTCCTTTGCCGCTGCCTTCTTCCAGTCCTGGCGTGCAGACCTACGGACTCTCTAAAAAAGCGGCGCTTCCCTCCAGTCACTCTCTTGCTTGGCCAGAATCGCTCTTTCCTTTAGAGAAGACTGTTTAGTGGTGGCCTCGTCCAGGTTTTCGTGCAGCTCCAGCGTAAATCACAGGCCATGCGAAGCTTTGGCACGCTGCAGCAGAAGCAGGAGGTCTGACCTTCTGCTAAGGGTCTGTCCAGAGGCACGGTGGGGGAGGGGGTGGGCAGAGGTCTTCTGCAGGCATGAGGAGGATCGGGGAGCCAGAGGGCCCCTGGAGGACCTTCTAGGCTTGGTGTGCAGAACAAGTTGTGGTCCGCCAGCCAAATCCAGGCCAATGAAGCTCCCTGGGGCCACATTCTAGCAGTGGGTGGACCAAAGCCCACCACCCTGACACCTGCATTTTTCTGCTTAGTGCTCTCCCTGCCAGTAACGGAGTTTTGGAGAGGCCAGCCAGCCATCTAGAGGAGGAGAAACGGCACAACGCCTGGGCTGGCGGGTGGCCAGAAAGGGGGGGCCACCAGGGGAACCCCGGAAGCCCAGATTGGGAGCCCCGAGGGCCAGGCTTGAGCGGTGCTTCCCGCTGCTTGCACAGCCAGTTGCAGCGTGCCTGCCTGGCGGCAGTCCAGGCTCGGCTGCACGGCTTCCAGCCAGGCAAGGGCTGCCACCTCGGCGGGTGGCCCGATGCGTTGCCGAGCTGCTCCCGCCGTCGGGATGGCCCATAGTCCTGTGTTTCATGGTGTGAGGCCAGTCTGGTCTCGTGTGCCTGCTTGGGCCCAGCCAGCGTGCTGTGGACGTCACGGGAGCCTCGGTGGGGCGGAGGCTGCAAGGGGGCCTCATGGGCGCCCAGCCACACAGCTGGGGTGGGGGGGGGGCACGCCCTGCCAAGCGAGAGCACCACGCTTTGGTCGCGAGACACCAACTTGGCACAGGGCAGCCCCAGGAGGAGAGACCAGAGCCGGGGCTCTGGGCACGGAGCGGTTTCCCCCCACCCTTGCAACCAGGGCTGTTTCTCTGGGCATGAGAAGAGTGTGGGGCAGGGCAGGGGTGAGGCCCCACAGGGACGTACCACACACCGGCAGTGCCTGTGCCCTCCTCCTCGGGAGCAGGAGCAGGAGACCTAGACGACCAGGCCACCCTACCTGCGGGGGCAGTCCTCCGCGCCGTGCCCTCCAGCACTCGCTTGGATGCCCGTAGCGCTCCAGCCCAGGGAGGCCATGGGCGGCCACACGGATAGCTCCCAAAACGCACGCGAAAGATGCGCAGTCTCTGGGCCAGCCCTCCAGTCACAAGGGAATCCTTCGCCTTATGCCATTTAAAATTTGAGGCTCACCTAGTCTGGACAACTGCCCCAGGTAGGAAGCATGGTGTGGGGGGGGGGTCCTGCTTTGTTTAGCTGAAAAGGCGGTTTCCAATGAAAACAGTAATTGGGAGGCAGAATGCAAAGCAACTATTGGGGGATCTTGCCTGTTTGCCCGTAATTCTATAACTGAATTTTGACTGTGTTGGGCAAAATGAGAATCACTCATTATGAGAGCTCCTTGCCAGTGTCCCTTTAGAGTCTTCCATTTGTAGGGCTGAGATGTACTCATATTGCCATCTGGAGCCAAGCAACATCATCCTATGAACAGTGGCCCCCTGCTCACCCCACAAAATACAGTGCAGGGCTTGCTGGCCAATTCCTGTTGAAGCAGATTATCTCCTCAATGCTTAAATATTTTGAAGAAAAATCATCCGATGATGTATAATGACTGCTCAATGCAACAGATGGAAACAGGAAAAGTGTGTTTTCCTCCTGTGATTTCTGCAAGTCCTTGGAATCCAAGGTGTACATAAAGAAGAATGGGCCCCACATGTTGCATGTAATCATTTCCTTGCAGGTGTGTATACAGAAGTCATGCTAAATCCAACACCTACTTTTCTTAAAACTACCCTTCTTTGAAAGTGTCTGTTTCAGTTACTTTGGTAGTTTAACAAAAAAATCACCTGCTTTTCCAAAGCAGGGACAAGATCTTCCATTAGCCTCGCCAAACAGGATTTATGGCACATAAACTGCATGGGGAGCTTTTTTGGGAAAAACACACAACGGGTCGCACAGTTGCTCCGTGTCTTCCAAATCCTCGTATTATCTGTTCTGCCCCTAGCCCCAACACACACGGACACCTGAAGTTCAACAGATTCGGAGAAGTTTGACTGCTTCTTTTCGGGAAGAGATTACAGGGAGAAATTCCAAGAGGGTTGCATCAGAGAGTCACCAAAGGTGGTAGGGGAGGAGATCCCCAGCTGTGCAGAAAGCTTGCAGCTGCTTAGCTAGTAACAGTCTCTTTTTCGGCTTAGGTGGCCCCCAAGCTGGACCTCCAGTGGCCCCCTTCCGGCAGACCAGTCTTGCCCTGTCTAAACAGCCCCCTTGCTGGAGGTGGGAGATCACGGAAGAGCCAGCAACAAGCCTCTTGCCTGTGCTGGGCAGAACTTGAAGAGTAAGCCCTAAACAGGTTAGAAGGATTGGTTCTCTTACCTGTTGGAGGTGCTACACACAGCTGGCCATGTTTCTAAGAGGAGACGAGGAGCGAGGAATTGTGTGTCCCGGCAAGCAAGCGAGTGCGCGAGCGAGCAGCGAGACGGCAGCCCACGTCACGGCTGACTCTGGCAGCCGTCTGCTCCAACTTTTCAGTTCTTTGCAACTCCCCCACCTCTTTCTGGTGTGCTCAGGACCAAGAAGGCCAGGATTCGTGTGTGCGCCGAGCAGTGCCGGCTCCAGGCTTTGCTGCCAGGCAAGCCTGCCACGGTCCTTACAGATGTCGAGGCATCTCAGAACCCAACTAGCTCTTCTTCGAGTCAGCTTCCCCCACCCTGTTCTCTTTGACTTTCCCTCCTGGGATGGAAAAGGGAAGGCTTCCCCCTCCCACACTCTGAGCTGGCGTCTGCCGCGGCGACGGAGAGCTGTTGCTTGGCCAGGCCCCTGAGCTGGAAGCAAAGTGCTATTAAACGTGCCGGAATGCCAAGAGAGCTTAATCGAGCCCAGCTGGGGCAGGAACAAAGGCCTGCAGGCAAAGGGAGCCCCATCCAGCTCATCCTCAGCTTTGCTGTCTCTGGTTCCCCCCTCCCCCCTCTCTGGGCCCAGAACCCGAGGCAGGGAAGCGCCCCATTCCTGATGGGTTTTAAGCTGCCCCTCGCAGCAGCACAGGGAGCTACCTTCAGATGCACCCAGATCACCCTCGGAGAGCCTCTCCGGCAGCCCCTGACAAAGGAAGCGGCACGGCGGACTGCTGGGGACAGGGGCCTTTCTGCTGGGGCGCTCCCAGAGAGGCCCCTCCTGGCTCCTCAAGAAGACCTTCCTGTTTCCACAAGCATTTAAGCCTTCCATTTTTAAATCTGATTTTAAAGGTGCAATCCTATGCACATTTAGAAACATAGAAACAGAGCGAGTCAGAAGGGGTCTCCTGGGCCATCTAGTCTGACCCCCGGCTCCAGCCGGCTCCGCTCACCACATGCCCACCGTGTGCACATCTAGGCAGAACAAAAGGGTCTACAACTCCCAGCTTGTCCCAGCCAGCTTTCTGCACGTGCATCGTAGCCCTTGCACTTCTGCTTGGTTTTACTTCAGTTTTGTCTTCTGTGTCATACTGTACTTTTCAACTTTTATGCTGTATCCTATGATGGAATCGCTGGTTTTCTTGCTTGCGAGCCGCACGGAGAGCTCCAGCTCCAGGCAGTGCAGAAATGGAGATGGGCAGCACGGCACCGTCCGCCCTCGTGGGTGCTGCCTTTCCCACTTGGAGGAAGTCCCCCCCCCACCTGCTTCCTGCCCCTTCTAACTGGAGAAAGCACGTGCTGAGCGAGGGAGGGTTGGCATGCAAAGCGTCCCTGGTCAACGGTAGGGATGCGTAAGAATTTAAATCAGTTTGACAAGAATTTACATCTGCCCATTTTTCTCTGGAGAAGCCTGAGGAATCTGATCATTGCTGATTCCCGGATAAACTGACCTGATACGCACCTCCCAGTCTAACGGGATGCAGTGGTCCACCAGCGTTCACCTTCCCAATTTGTCCTGCAAGCCTCAGCCTCCAAAGTGTATCATAATACATTTTTAAATGCGCATTTGAGAGAACTTTTTGCATTTAAGAATATCACCCCAGTTCCCAATTTAGCCAGGCTCAGGGAAGGGCCACGGAACTCTGTTTGGCTAAAATGGATCGTGAGGAGTCTCAGTGGGTGACCCCAAGTGTGAGCTTGTCTGGAAGCAACCCGAAAGCAAAGCATGGATGTGGACGTGGGGCAGGACAGACGAGTGGGTGAACACCGGCCAGGAATAGCTGAATTTGCCTGGCCGGGTGGCAAAACCGGGAGGTTCAGGTGCCATTTATCACCTGGGCCTACACCCTGTCCATGGATGCGACAACCACCATTGCCTGGTGTCTACAGCACACAAGGGGTCAAAATGCGCTCGCCAGCAAAATAGTTTCGCCCACCCGGGTGCTCTGTAGGGGAGGGCAATGGTTTTGCAGAGCTGTGCATGCACCCTGATGGAGCACAGGGGATGTGCATTGATGGATCGGGACCACCCGCTGGTCGAGGGCCACACTGTGAGTTGGCAGCGGAGGTGGGACTTGAATCCTCCCTTCTTGACTGGAACGCCTGAAATCCAGACTTGCACGCACTGCGCACCCCAGCAGGCCTGCGGGCACATGCCGCGCACAAAGGAAGGGGAAAGCGGGGGCTGGAAGATGGCTGGAAGAACAGGGACCAAGCCCCAGATGTGCTTGCGTGGGAAATGTGCAAGCAAAAGAGGGGCGCTGTCTCGGGGCAAACCGCAGAGCATCGCCTTCTTCCGAGGAGAGCGGGGCAGCAAGAGCAGCTCCCCCGCCCTCCTTTTATCCTCGCAGAAGTGGGCTTGTGGTGGCCATGGAGGGCAGCCAGCCTGCTCTTTTGCCAGGGTCCCCCACCAGAAGCAGGTCCTGCTGCCCTCACAATGCTGCCATTTTGCATCCCCCCCCCCCCGTGTCCAAAAGGATCAGAGTCAGCCTGGGAGAACTCTCTGCTTGCACACCCCACTCCTCCTAGATGCGGGGCGCATGCCTGAAGACGAGTGCTGCATATTCATGCTCGGGTGCAAGAGAGCAATTGGGCCAAACCTCAACGCCAAGCATGGCTTTGAACACGTTGCTTCCGTGCTTCCGGTGCCAGGCTCGCATGTTCTCTGCTGCTGGAAGCCGGCTAGAATTTCGCAGCAAGGAGGGGAGGGAAATGTGCATATTAGGCATGCTCAGAGGCACTCTTTGAAGCTTCAGGAAGTCCAGGCTGTGTGGTGCTGACCACCTTATGGTGAGATCAGTATACTCTTCAGGCGTGCTTTGTTCCATTAATTACCAGTTTGACTTTGAAATCAACAGAGAATAGTAGAGAGTAAACCAATTTGCAGAGTAAACCAATGCAGCCTACCTCAGCTGTCCCCAGCCAGAAGTGCTTCAGATGTGTCAGACTACAACTCCCATCATTGCCTAGCCAGGCTGGCATGCCATCATGGAGTAGAGGAAAGGAGGAAGTGCACAAATGGGAACCGGGGTGGTGCTGCGTGTGAAATGCTGCAGGGCAGCGAGTCGACGCTCCCTTCCAGGGGAAACTGATCTCTGAACGGGAGTTCTGCTTGCCAACCCAGAAAGCCTCATTGCGCATTTCTCCCTCCAGGCTCAAGACTGTGGTTTGCTTTCTTAAGTCATATTAACATTGTGGTGCTCATTTCTGGAGCCTAAAGAAATTAGCCCACAGTCATTGGAAAATCCGGGGCCGTCCTATGGGGAGAGTGGTTGGGAATGGGAGCCTGGAGTCAGAAGTGCGGCCGTTTCCAGGAGGCCATCAGCTTGTTTGCCGCCTCCAAGGGAGATCTGCACCGTGCATGGGAGGGGGAGGTTACCCAGCCACCTGAAGCCTTCTGAACTTCTAGAGGCAGTTCTAGAAGACCATGCCGTGGGCCCAGCCATGCCTACAAGACTCCAGGAACATCCGATTCCAGAAAGAGTAGGAGAGATGCAGTGCTGAGTTCTCAATGAAAGGTGTTTCAGGATCTGAATCACCTTGAGGGTTTTTTTTTAATGCTAAGCAGCAACTTATTAGTGTTCTATGACCACAATCTTGTGGATTTTTAAGCAGAAAAAGGTCCTACAGCTCCCATGCCGGCTGGGGAATGCTGGCAGTTTGGGGATTCTTTTCGGTCTGAGCACGCATAGGGTGGCACTGGCCATGTTCCCACACTGTGCCCTCAGTCCGGCATCTGCTACGAAGCATCAACCCAGCTGCTCTGGAATGGGGCCCTTTCCTGGAGAAAGGCCTGCCGCTGGATGGCAGAGCACCGATATTGTGCTCAGCTTTCCCCGCGTTCAGTCCCCCACGCTTCCATGTGGGGCCAAGGCAAAACCCCGCTCTGAACCCTTCTGCACAGCTATCAGCCCAGTTCGGCTCAGGGAGCTGACTGGGAATAAGGTGGCTTCCCCCCACCCCCCACCAAAGTTTTCTCTTCCCTTCTCCTTTGGCTCCGTGGTGAAGCGCATGCGAGGCTCAAGTGCCACCCATGAGGCACTGCTTTTCCCCGTCTTTCTACTGGGGAAAGATGCTCAGAACTGAGCTCTGTCCCTCAAGCATCTGAGCATCAATGCACAATCTTAAGCCTATGTGGCCAGGAAAAAAGCCCCCCAGCCCTCAGCCCCCAGCCCCATTGTGTCTGAACTTATAGCTGCACATCGGTTTTCTGCCCATGTGGTCCCTCAGAACAATGCACAATAACACACCTGTGCAACGACAATGTAAAAAAAGCAGCACACCTTTAAAAAACACCCTTAAGAGGGAGCAGTCAAAAGTCAGCGCAAACGTGCCTTAGTCAGGTGAAACAACGGAGGCCACGCACCTGGCACGTCCGTGCTATTCCAGAGTGGCCCTTGGTGTCACCTGGCAGGATTCTCGTGCTCTTCCATTGTTTCTTGGGGTTCGCAGCATCCCTTCATCAGGAGCCGTATTACAGTTTTTTGGCTTCAAAAGGGCAGGTACCTACCTGGCGCTGGACACATGCTTTGCTTGTGGGAGGTCTCCAGTTCGATCCGGGGCCTTCCCGAGTGGAAAGGTTCCTGCCTGAGACCCTGGAGAGGGCCGCTGCTGCCAGCCTGTGTTCACAACACTGGCTCAAATGAGCGATCTGGCTCAGTATCGAGCAGCCTCCAGGGAGAGAAGGCAAAGGGAAGCATTTCAAGAGCACAAGGGGAAGGGGAAATCCACAAGGAATTTTGACTTTTACAGCAGCCAGCGGCAGCCTTCTTTATGGGACTAAAATAGCTGCCACTAATGTTCCTTTTTCCTGTCCGAGCTCCCCGGCCAGCGTGGCTCTGGAAGAGAGGGCCGAATGCTGTTCTACCCAGCAGTCTACGAAGCGCCGCTGAGGCCTGAGGGAGAACCCGAAGCCAGACAGAAGGGCCATTGTCAGGGCCGGGCAGCTGCTGCACTCCCACTCGCTCTGCTGGGACTGGAGAGAGACTTGTTTCTTTTTTGGGGAGAGAAAGCGGGTAATATTCCAAGTGTTCGCGGCTTTAGAAATGCTGCAAGAGACAGTGCTAGAAGCGAAGGACCCCCCCCCCAACCCCCAGTTATAAAACTAGCCCTCTATTTTTACTGATATTTTACTTCCTTGTGTGCTGAAGTTGCATGTTTGCGGTATTTACTACAGAGGCAACTGTGTGATGTTTGCAGTACCGATGGGCTTGTGCTGCTCACATTATTATCCACAGCTCGTTTAATTGTGCGCCGCATTCCCCATTCGA